TGTATGTATGTATGTATGTATGTATGTATGTATGTATGTATGTATGTATGTATGCAGAGGGCTGGAAAGATGGCTCAGTGGTCAGGAGCACTGGTTGCTCTTCAAGTGGATCCAGGTTCTGTTTCCAGCACCCACATGGCAGCTCACAACCATCTGTAATTCCAGTTCCAGAGAATCCAAAGCGTTTTTATGGTCTCTGCAGGCAACAAGCATGCACACAGTGCACAGACATACACACAAGCAAAACACACATAGATGTAAAATGTAAGTATTTTTAAGAAGGAACATATGTGCAATTCTCATGATCAAATGAGTTTTTTTCCCAGTATTTACCTTCATGTGACTTTGTGACTAGGCAAACATCTTCTGTTTTAAAGCCAGAAGAGTTCAGAATAACTTAAACAAATAACTTTTCCCAGGCAAAGCTCATCTGGTATCAACATCAATTACTGCCAGAACACTGGATTTAAATAAACAATTTTCGTAGGATTAACTTTTCCCAAGTCAAGTACGTTCCAGTCAGTTTCTGAAAAGGGAAAGTCTCATTATTTAACAATATTCTGGAATATGGGAAGTGATGATTATAATTTAAAAGATTATGTTTTAACATATCATGATTGTGTTCCTGAAGATGGACTATCAATCAAGGAAATTTCTGCATGAGGAGAGAAATCATTTATTACCATCCAAATGTAACACAGGAAGAAAAAGGGGGAGATAAATGGGACTCGTGTAACTAGAAGTGAACACAGCCACACATTCTGGGTTAACAGGTGACCTCAGCCAGCACTTTTCATTTTTAAAATTATTATGTGCATTATAATTTTTCCATTCTTCTGGATAATTAATATGACATTAGGCCACCTTTTTCTGTACAAGTTGATAATGAGATAAGAAATGCATGCAATTTTTCCCTTAGAAATTCACAAAGCAGTAAATCTCTTGGCTGGGAAACATTCTAGGCCTGGATTAAGTTAGAGGGAGGCTAGAAGCTTCCCGGACTAGGCCTAGGTTAGCAGACCGAGGCAATAAGCCTCTGAGACAACAACTACGTCAGGCAAATAAAAGATAGTGGTAAAGCGGTAGTGGTAAACAGTTAATTTACAATAAAATTGTAACAGACAATCAAATTGTTAGAATCATTTAACATCACAGATAATTCATTCATTAAACAAAAAGAACCCTTTGAGAACATTAATAATCTACAATTCAGTGCAGTGCAATTCTGTAACAACATGTTTTATTTGTCAGCTGGCTGGCAATCTTTACACTTAAAATAATGAAATAAGTATTTTTTTTTACTTTAGGTTAATTGGTTTTAATGTAATGCAATTAAATAATATTTTATCTTTACAACCATCTAAAATCAAATAAATTATTCTGTTCTCCCTATTCCCTTCACAATGAACTACCTGAATTACAGTTATAGACTTGATTTGGACACAGGAAGAACAAATATCAGAACAAAAAGTGATATAACTATCAGTTAACGGAGTAGTCCTTGAACTTATGAGGAGACAGACATCCAGCAAACAGCTGGTTGAGGGCAATGCTAATTTTAAAATCTGTTATTTGATGATCCTTCCATTTCATGCCATAATATTCCCTTTCAATATTATCTATCATCACTGAAATGAAAATGTGGTCTTTAAAATGTTTCTTATTATGGGCACAGGCCTAAGTATGACCTTTACTCCATCATATCTCTATCATACTTAAAACAACGACTGTTCAAGCATTTCATGAATCTTTATGAAGATAAACTGGCTGAAAACAATCCACAGATAATGCATGTTATCCAGTACAAATGCTGCTTCTACTTGTCACAGACGCTGATGGAGACAAACTTCCTCACAGGTTACAGTTTGAAGGTTGAATTTTGAACTTTAAATATAATAACAGAAATTAAAATGAAGCATATAAAACCAAGAAACCATGGGTGGATAAAGCTAATAATCACACATAATTGGAATTTAATTCCCTACTCCTACAAACGCTTGTCTTTCCAACACGTTTCATATGTTT